TATTAAAAGTTACAAAATAGTCACTTGACTATTCGTATATTCAAACTCGTCATTTTTCATTAAAAAATCGGTGGTCGTCTGAGTTGAACGTTAACATGTTGACTGAGATATGATAAAATATGATCCCATAACCGTTTGAACTGTATTTTGTGCATCGACTCTTTGTTTACATTATGCCGCCGAATTAGTGCTTGAAACATTATACTGTCGAGCCAGTGCTTGAAAGCTACGACAGTACATTAGACATCATTAAAATATAAATTTATCATATCCCAATTAGTAGGTTGAATCCAACTCATACAAACATCAAGTTTTTAACCAAAAATTATGAGTTTAAAACATATGAATAGTCAGGTGACAATTTTGTAACTTTTAATAGTCGGATGACTCAACAATATAGTAAGGGGACCGATATGTAACTTATAATAGTCAAGAGACTCAACAAAATAATATCTTATAGTCGATGAGATTATTTGTATACTTTACACTTAATTTAAATACATTACATCTTTGTACCTTTTTATCTATGAATCTCGTTCGTTTCGTTAAATTTCATTATAAATTGGTGACATGAAATTTATAAAAAAGAAAAATAAAAAATAATTTTCAAGCCTCAAAGTTTTGCCAATTTCACTCTTGTTGTAATACATTGGGTTTGACCTAAACATTACAGTAAAATCTAAAATGTCACTAAACTTAAAACAAAATAAGTTTTTTCAAAATAAAATTTAAATTTCAAGAAAATAATAAAAAATCTAAAAAAAATATAAAATAGTACAATACTTGAAAAGTAATTAAAAAAATAATACTTGAAAAAAAATGAGAATCGACTAAAACATGTCGATTCTGAGATTGGTGATCAACATCAATCTCAAAGGAAAATAAAATAGGTAACTAGTTATAAAGTTCAGTGTGGTATATAAGTGCATAAAAGGAATCTGAGAGTATGCCAACATAGAAATCAATCACATAACATCATATAAAATGCATGATATACTGGTAAGCCCTATCTACCCATCCTTCCACTAATAACCACAAGCAAAGTTCCCCGAACTCAGTAACACCTTATTTCTCCAACAAATAGTAATATGTAATCGTATTATAATAATAAGCAATAATATATGATCGTATTACAACAACAAGTAGTAGCATGATACATATTAAAGAATCAGTATCTTCCTCTTGTACAACCTGTCTCATGCAACGTGACATACAATAAATGACTATATTTCTAGTCAGAACATAACAACAAGCTATCCACAATCGACAACATCAAGCTAGCATTCTTATCAAGATATCCATAATGCATGTCATGTGCATGAATCAAGTAGATAGTGCATATCTGGCATGCTTGTCAATCATATAAGGTAATATATTGTAATACCAAAAAATATGATTGTGACCAAAATGAATAAAATAAAAGTTTGGGGGTTAAAGTGTAAACTAGCAAAAATTTTAGATATTAAAATAGTAATTTTCTTGAAAATAATTTGTATCTTTTAAATGAATAGTTCACCCCTAAGAATGAGGTTTGGGTATTATGTGGATTTTTTACTCATAAATTATGTTAAAAGCTATAAAGTGTTAAAGTTTGGGAAAAACTCGAATAATCAAATTGAATAAAAAATTTAGGAAATTTTGCTAGATAATAGAGCAAGGGCAAAAAAGTCATTTCATATGTTAAAATATGATAGGCTATGGACCATTGGATTTAAGATGATTTCCATGTTAAATCTTAACAATTGGATTAAAAATGGCAAGATTGATATTTTGGAAACTTATAAGGGCAAAGTTGTAAACTACTGATTTATCGGTATAATTACAGCCTTTGGATGAGAAAATTGATAAGTGGAATAATGAGAAATATTGGATCTTAAGAGCAAAATGATCATTGTACATTAAAATGAATTTAAATTCATTTTAAATATTAATGGTTAAAAAGGATAAAATTAAAAGAAAATAAAGTTAAAGATATTTTTCCATTTTTGGAGCTGCTGCCGTGAACTCCCAAGAGCATATAGGTAAGTTCCAAATTTGATTTTCAATCCCTTTAAGTTGGATTTAAGGTCTAGACATAAAATCTATTTTTATTTTCCTCTATTAAATTCTCTACACTTTGGTACTATTAGTTTTTGGTTTTGATTAGTATATGTTATGGAATTGGAGGAGAGAGGCTTAGAGGGTTAAGGATTCAATTGATTTAATAATGGATTATGAAAAATTAGATGTTTTATCATTACTATACTCGATTGATGTTGTAAATTAATTGTTAAAGCTATAGGGACCTATTCAACTATTATGAAAAAGTTTAGGATTTGAAATGAAAATTTATTTAATTTGTGTAAACTAATTAATGAAGGGAATTGTTAACAATTAAGGCGATGATTTGTCTAAGTGGTGTTTTAGTTTTAATCGGAAGGTGGTTTAGATATAGAGGTGGTGGTGAAATGTTTGTAAAAAACTGAAAATTAAAATCTTTGGGGTTAAATTATATATAAAATCATTGTTCAATGACCTATTTAATGTTTAAACAATATTTTAGGGGTAAAACTAAATATTACATTTTTTTAACATTTTCACTTCGTCAATTTAGCGGGACGACAGCGGAGAGACCATTTTGTTACTAATCAATAACGTTAGTGATTAATTTATTATTTTTTAAAACTTCAATGAAGAAAACAAAAACTATCTCAAATGTTAGTGATCATTTGTATAGTTTACCATTTTAAATAATTTTCTATGTCCATGCTGTAAAAAGAAAGCCTAGAAAGAAACCAATTGATTAGGTTAGTATTAGGAACCAATCAATTACATTTGAGATAGTTAATTAAATATATATACATTACGCCTACATCGCTAACCACTTCAATCATTCCGCTATTTTTTTTTCTTCAATGTCGGTTATTTTATAATGTATAGTTTTTGAAAAATCTAAAAAGATCACACATTTTATATTAATTTAAAGGGTTACAGATAAAATAAGCCCCTAAATTTTATTATTTTTGCTTTATATTTTAAATTATTTTTTTAAAATAAGTTATTAAATTGTTATAGGTAATTGTTTTAAGTCAGGTCATTTTTTAGTTAAAGAAATTTTTTTCGGCCTATAATATGGTGACATGTCACATAAAATTAAGTACTTTTGATCAAAAAAATAGTTTAAAAACTTGAAGAAAAAAATCACAGCTTAGGAATTTATCTTGGTAAAAAATAGTTTAGGTATCTAAAGTTATTAGATATAATAGTTTAAAGATTTATTTTGACCAAAAAATAATTTAAGGACTTAAAGCAAAAAAAATGATATAATTTTAGGACTTATTTTTAGTTTAAGCCTAATTTAAATAATGATAAAAATGTTAATAAGTTCTGAAATAAAAATCTAAATAATTAAATTTAAAAATAAAAACCTATAAATTTTCAAATTACATTGAACAATTTATCTTCAAAATTTAATTTAATAATTAGATTAATATATTTAAATTTTAGGTAAATTACATGAAATATTTCTTTTCATTTTGAATTAATTTTTTTAAAAATAATATCTGAATATCAGTAACAATCTTAAAATTCTAAAATTATTTGATAATTGATTTATTTGAAAAAATTATATTTTCTTTTATTTTTAAATACATTTGGTTGATTTCTTATTCTAATTGTACATATTTTTAATGTTAATGGGATAATCTTTCAAGCTTATTGTTTTTTAAAAATAAATAAAATATATCTAAAGTTTTTAAAATCTATAAACATGTACTATTTTTAACTTATTTTACCTATTTTATTAGTTTTCAAAGTTAAATAAATTATTTTAACCTTGTTCTTTGATATTTTGGTTATTTCAGTCACATTAGATGAATTATGTGTAGCACCAGATTGATGGCTGCATCCATCACCATCTCAAAATGTTTTGGTTTTAGAAAGTAATTATTTTATATGAATATTTGACTGCAATCTTTGTTATGTTTACTTTATGGTAAACAGCTACTTTTTATTTATAATTATATTTTATATTTTTAAAATGAAAATTATTTATTAAATTTTTGTTGACACAGAATATTCCATCATTTTTTTGTTTTATATATATTTTTGTCTGTGTTGGTTATAATTATAATAAAATTAACTCAATCCCCTGTTATTTGAAAATACCCATCTTGACAAACATGGGGAGATTTTATGCATTACTTTGTTCGTGCCCACTGTCTCGAGTTCACGGCGCCATGCATCACCTTGGACAAAATTTGATAATGTATTTGTATTTTAAGTAATGAGTTCTAATAATTTTATTTAAATATCTATAAAAATATAAAAATCTGAAAATACCTTACAAAGCTATTTATTATACTTGAAGAAGGAGGTAAATTTGTATTTTTTACATAAAAAGTTTAGGTTAAGGGTGATTCCTAGTCCAGGGTCAATACATACTTAAAATCCGATTGAGATTTACATATGAATTTACAAGTTGCCCACTAAGATTTGAACTTGACATTACAAGCTCAAATTCCTGAATCACAACCACTTGTGTCAACACTCATTGGCGGAAGTAAATTTGTATTTATCAATTGAGTTAATGTATGAATTAATTGATGACACTAAATTTAAGTAAAACTTTAATTACTAATATAGATAATTAAAAATAATAAATTTATTAACATTTTGAAAATTTTCAAATAATAATTTTTTTTAATTTTATTTTTTTTCAAAACATAATTAATATTAAAATTAAAATCTCAAACAAAGCTTAAATATATATGCAATTAATCCGTGACTAGTTTTTTAGTAGAGGGATGAGTTGTGTAATTTGACGAGAGATGAAACCCACGTCATGCATATTATTTTACGCAATTAAATGTTTAAAAATTTCTTTAAAAAGAATAAATTCCGAGTGACCCTAAAAGCAGATTTTCATGTTAGATTTCGATCCAAGCTCCAAAGACACGCACCCCTCCAAATAAACAGAGAATAAAAAACCTCCCAACATCAAAAAGAAGAGAAACCCGTTTAAATTCATGTGAAAATCGGTCAATATTGAAGTGGTTTGAAAAGAAGAAGAAGAAGAAGCAAAAAGCTATAGTATTATTTTGCTAGATTTTTGAAAAGCGGGGTTGGTTGGGTCGGAGATAGTTGACTGTGATGGTAAGAAATGGTGCACGTGGTGCCAGCGGACCCACAGGCGGTGGTTGCGGTGAAGAAGAAGGCGCAGCCGTCTCGAAGTTGGGTCCTTCTCGATAGCACGGGGGAGACCACCGTGCTCGACGTCGACAAGTATGCCATCATGCATCGAGTTAACATCCATGCCCGAGATTTACGGATCCTCGACCCTCTCTTGTCTTACCCTTCCACCATTCTCGGTCGTGATGGAGCTATAGTCTTAAATTTGGAGGTTACATTTGTTAACTTTTTGTTTTTGTTTTTTCTTTGAACTCTTTCTTTAGCTTATTTTGTTTTTTGTGTTTTCTGATTTGCAGCATATCAAAGCAATTATTACTTCTGAGGAGGTTAGTGGGTTTTTTTTCTCCCTTTTGTTAATTCAGTTTAGTTAATATATATATATATATATATATATGTATGTATGTATGTATGTATGTATGTATAAAAGATGTTAATTTTGGAGTTCTTGATGATATTGCTGAGGTGTTTTTGAGCAAGTGTTGCCCGATTGATTGGTTTTTGAGTTATAGCTTTTGACAGAATCTTTTTTGTTTGTTTTTGTAGATAAAGTTAGATCCTGAATTTGTCTGTTTTATTTCTTGGATGGATTCTATAGAGTTACTGCCTGATATTGGATTTCGTTCATTTAATGTGTGGAGTGAGGGTTGTTTAGTTTGTTTTATAGTGAAATAATTACAGCTGAAGTGGATTAGAAATGAACAGAAGTGGTTCAGCCTTTTATCTGTTAAAACTTGAAACGATTTTCTGGGCTTAGTTCATAATATTGAAGTTGAAGGATGAATTTCTAATATGAAGTGAATACATGAACCTGAGAGAATTTTACTTATGATTTTTGAAACTATAAATGAGTTCTAAGTATGAAGTACTATGTGTTTTGAATGATATAATCTGCTTGTCTAGTCAATTTTTGCTGCTTAGGGTTTTCATTGATTGAGATTACTCTATTGTGTATCTTGTAAGCTCAATTATTATGAGTAGTTACGAGTGTTTTAATTAGGGTTTTAATGGGCAGCTGTTGCAGATAGTAATTTGTGTTGTATTTGAAACAGGTTTTGCTTCGAGATCCATCAGATGAAAATGTTGTCCCTGTTGTTCAAGAACTTCAGAGGCGTTTGCCTCGGGCGAATGTCATACGCCAAGGTCAGGACTATACGAATGGACAAAATGATGTTGAGGGTGACGAAGATGGTACGTGTTGTTAATTGTGTAAATCCAGCAGCTAGGTTGATGAACATCAGAAAACTCATTTGACATTTCAGCAATTTCATCCTTAATATAACATCATAATTTTCTGATTTTACTCTTTGACATCTAAACAATCTAGTCCATGCCATGCAGAGTCTCCATTTGAATTCCGAGCATTGGAGGTTGCTTTAGAGTCTATTTGTAGTTTTCTAGCAGCACGAACACTAGAACTAGAGACTGCAGCTTATCCTGCTTTAGACGAGCTGACCTCACAGGTAATCGTTCTTTCACGTTTACCAAATTTTGAATAGCTTTGTTTCTCTGTCCTTCCTCTGGAGTCCTGTTCATTTTGAATTGTGATTTCTGAAATACGCCATATGCAGATCAGTAGTCGTAATTTGGATAGAGTTCGTAAATTGAAGAGTGCAATGACCAGATTGACTGCTCGGGTACAAAAGGTACAACTTCATTCATGTTGATGTGCATGTGAAACTTTTTTTTGTTTTTATCATATGCAGTTCGGTCTCTTCGGTTCAACTACTGCTATATTAAGTAATAAATTCTTGAGAGTTTCACATTCTAGAGGCTGATTATTAAATGGACCATGTAATGTATCTAAGGGATTGATGAGTTGCATATTTCAGAGACTCTGCCTAGATTATAATGGAAGCTGAAAGTGTAAAAACAATGTTTAATAGTTAAAAAGTGTAAAAACAATGTTTAATAGTTACATTAAGTGGCAAAGAATGATGTTCTAATCATCGATTTGTGTAGGTGAGAGATGAACTAGAACAGCTACTGGATGATGATGATGATATGTCTGACCTTTATTTGTCAAGAAAATTGGCTGGAACTTCACCTGTTAGTGGATCAGGTGCTGCGAATTGGTATCCTGCATCTCCTACGATAGGATCGAAAATTTCCAGGGCAAGTAGAGCAAGTATAGCAACAGTTCGTGGCGACGAGAATGATGTTGAGGAGCTTGAAATGTTACTGGAGGTTAAAAGTTAAAACGATGATTTACTTCTCGTGTTTAAAAATTTATCTACCAAAAAGGCTAAGTTGGTAACAATTTGCTTTGCAGGCCTACTTTATGCAAATTGATGGAACATTGAACAAATTAACAACGGTAATCATCCTCTTGTACCCTTTTTCTTCTTATATTTGGCCTGTTAACCATTATTAAAAATTACATGGATTCTTTTCAACAATTTTCTGTATTTTCCAAAGTCTGTATTTCTATTTTTATTTTTTTATTATTTTTTTGCTGCTTAACTTGAAATTATGCAGTTGCGGGAATACATCGATGATACTGAGGATTACATCAATATTCAGGTAAACGCAAATATATTATTGAATATGTTGTGCTGTGTGCTATGATTTTCTGGCTGAATCGAGCTTATTTCTTTTTGCAGCTTGATAACCATCGAAACCAGTTGATCCAGGTCCGTTAATCTTCTTCCTTCTAAGTAATTTTTGCATTCTAAAGATTGAAGTGATCTTAAAATTTTGCAGTTAGAACTGTTTCTAAGTTCGGGAACCGTGTGTTTATCCATCTATTCCTTGGTGACTGCAATATTTGGGATGAACATTCCATATACATGGAATAGTAACCATGGATACATGTTTAAATGGGTAAGCAAACTGTTTCATCTGTTAACGTATTATACATCGATGTTAGGCTGACTCTGCATCTGGTGATTGATCGTTTGTTGTTCATCTTCTTTTTTTTATTCTTGTGTTTGTGATGATAGGTGGTGATTGTCTCTGGGATACTTTGTGCAATTCTGTTTGTACTAATAATGTCCTATGCCCGGGTGAAGAGTTTGGTTGGATCTTGAGACCTCGGGGAAAGTTTATTGGAGATTCTTTGCATGCGAGTCAGGTTTCAATGAAAAATTAGGACACTTCAATAAAAACAGAAATTTGTCTTTTACTTATATAACTTTTGATGCATGCAATTGGAAAACTATTTGAAAGAAAAGAAATAATAAAACACACATAGTTCCAAGCAATATTTTTCATTTCATTTTTCTTTTTAATGTTTTTTTACATATTTGGAATATTATTGAAATGTGAGCTTACTTTTAGGGTCTAAATCTATATATAATACTTCCAAATGTTATAATAATAAATCTTTCGGGTTTTTTTCCTTATAAGATTTATTCATTTGATTTTTGTTACTACGAGCCTCTGCTATGCGAACCTTCAGACATGCAGAGCGTATTTTGCGAACTGCCATCATGCGAACCTTCAAGAAGTTCAACCAATTGACGCCACCTTTGATTATAATTCCTTCTTACTCAAGCTCAAACCGGATGAACATACGCCCTTCGAAGGATGAATCCTCTTAAAGAGTGTGGGAATGATGCATGCATGAGAAGAGTCAAATTACTCCTACATATGAAATTAACGTTGCTTTGCAAGATGGGAACGAAATTGCAGCACACTTTTGGGTGGGACACCAATGTTTTTAATATTTCACTCTTTGTTGTTTCAAAATCGAGGTTGAATCTTTTTGAAGAGGGGATGATACATGCACCACACGCCTCACACCAAAGGAAGATAAACTGACTCTTCTAATTGATCCACACGCCTTAGAAAAGAAGACAAAAAAGGTAGCAGACTTGCGGTGATTGAGATTCAGGTGTTATTTGGTCGACATGTCTTCTGGAAATACGACCATCTCTTAGCTTTCCAATAATTCTTGAAACCCATCAATCCGGTGTCGGAAAATCAAGATATGACTATTTAGCGAAGATAGTGCATGTAGAAATCTTTATACAGAATTTTGTAAATATTACGATTTTTTAATATTTTTATCGATTATTTGTAATATAATTTAATATAAAAATATGCATTATCTTTTAGGATTAGATTTATTATTTTATTATGAATTAAGATAAAATCAAAACATTATTGATAAGAATTAAGATAGAGCTAAAACATTATCTTTTAGTTTATTATTATTTTATTCATTAGTTGCTTAGAACTCTGGAATCCCTTCCTATATAAAGGACACTCCATGCACTTGTTCTTGATTATTAACACAACGTGAGTACGTTTTTACAAATACTAATTGCTTTCGAAGCTTTCTTCATCACGGAGTTATGCTAGTTCAATGTGAGGGAGATCTTCAAACTATGGGTTGTCTTTTCATCGCGATTATGAGGGTGCTTAGGACGACTATCATCATCGCCACATCCGTAATCAACATCATCGCCATCATACTATCATTCACGCCAACAACACATTAAAACCCTAGTTCACGCCACATTCATACCTATTGGGAAGAATTTTCAAAAATTCGTTTCTTTACTATTTTTATTTATCTTTTTAATTATCTTTTTATATATTCATCATCTTTCTAATTTACATCTTCTTGTTTCTATCTGTAACAGAAAGAATTTAGCCAAATCCTAATTTGATTGTCCTCTTTTGCATCAAATGTTCATTATTGGGTCTAGAACCTCATGCTTGAATTCTTCAACAAAGAACTTTCAACAATCTATTGCCATCTAATGTCACATGTCCCTTTGAAAATGGTTTTACTCTTTGAAAATATTGAAAATTCCAAATTAAGTTTTCATCAAACCTGTTTATGGAATGAGTTATTCATAAAGGTATGCTTAAAATACAAGAGAATTATTAGTCTAAAAATGAACTTAGAAAATTTTAAGGCCTGTTTTTTTATTTGGGTTTAACTTTGGATAAAAACTTCTTAATTCGGCCTGATTCAAATTTATATATTTGTTATATATTTACACGAATTAAACCACTTTAGTAGTTTAGAGACTTATTATTATTCTTTGAGTTCTCGGATTTGAGCACTGCATATGCAGGGGTATAAGCATTCATTGTCAGTAGGTTGAGAATCTTTGAACATATATTACTTTTTATTTATTCCAGATTTATTAAAAAAGAAAGAAAGAAATATAATTATATTTGTTATATATGGTTTCAAATATAATAGTTATATTTTAAAACTAATAAATAAAACCAATAGGTTAAACAGTGAACAATGAACATTACATAATTGAATTTGATAAATTTTAATTTGATCTGATTTTATAGAATTAAGAATTTTATTTTAAGATTTAGTTGAAATCAAATCGAGTTTACGATGATAAATTTATCTGACACGATATGAAATAATAATATAATTGTCATTTATATATTTAAAATAATTACTTTAATACCCTTATATGTATATTTTAATTATATCTCTATTTGTCGAATATCGGGTTAAATCATGTCAAATATAAAATTTTCATTCTAAATTTTAGATCAGTTGAAATCTTCTTAAATTTAATTCACATCAAATATAAGGTGAGATGTATAATAAAATGGGTCAAAATTTCAGCTGAAACTTATGGTTTGAACAATAACTGAGGTAGCACAAATCTTTCCTTTTGCAAACCATGAACAGAAAGCGTATAATATTTTCAAGTATTATTGTTTAATTTTTTTCAGGATTTAGTTCAGATTATTTTATTATTATGTGATTTTTTATTTCAATTTTAAAAATGATTTAATCCATTAAATATTGGGGGTCGGATCTAGGGGTGTAAACGAGCCGAGACTTGACTCGACTCGAAAACTCGCAAGCTTAAAATTTTCAAGCTCGACTCGAACTCGAAATCCTGAACTGAAGCTCGTGAGCAGCTCGAAATGAAAAAAATTTCTTAAACTTAACTCGATTGAAGACTTAAACTCAAACTTGAATATGAAATTTAAATACATGAAATCTTACTGTATTTAAAAAAAATCAATACATAAATATTAATATTAATATTATTAATAATTTATTTAAAAAAATAAAATCTTAATATATTATATTTTCGAGTCGAATATTAAGTAGCTAGTTTCGGCTCGTTAATAACTCGAGTAGAGCTCAAACTCGATTCGAGTCCATTCGATCCGAGTATTTATCGAATCTTGATCTAATCGATCTTGAGTAACTCGCGATTTGTCTGTCTCATTTACGGCCCTAGTCGAATCAAGCTCAAAATCTTTCGGTTTTATGAGTGGAAAATGAAGCTTATAATTTAGGTGCATCGGAGTTTGAATAAAAAAATAGGTAAACTTATAAAATACCGTTAAATTTTAAGATTTATATCAATTTATCACTCAACTTTAAAAACCTTCAATTTTAACACTAGGCATTGGTTTTAGCTTCAGTTATAACATTGAACCGTTAGATCATTAACACATGATAATATTGTCGTCTTCCTCCCCATGAACTTTAGTTTGTTTCTTGATTTTGTAACTAAATTTCAAAATGTTTCATTTTTAGACACTAAACCTTAGTTCGCCTATCATTTTAGTCCTTACAAATACTCAACCATCACTGCTAGTCAATTACCAGCTATCATTGATTTTCATTCACGATAATATTATTATCAAAAAGTTTGCATTTTACTTGTTTCTTCTTCTCATATTGATATTTTCAAAAAAATTCATTCAAAATTGATGAAAAATCTATCTAAAGGTTTGATATTCTAATACTCAGATATTCTTTGATAATCATCTAATGATTCTATTTTCTAGGTATGTTGTTCGTTTCTCAAAAGAATATTTTTTTACCTTTAAGATTTTTGAACAAATACCTCAAATCTCACAAATTTGAGAAAGGCCCTTGACTCTCAAATATTAGTTTTTGTTTAGCTTCGTGAGTTTCAAAGAGAATTGAAAAAAAAATTAAATAAAAATTGATAGAAGACGATAAGATAAGTTTATCTAAGGGAGAATATGATGATGTGAAGTAAAAAAAATATTTTTTTAGCTTCCACATCAACACATCCTAGTGTCATCTTAGTACTAATGGAGAAACATTTTGGCTCTGCCATTAATTTTGAGGGTAGTTTCCACTCCAGTTGTTCTTGTGTTGTTGGTGACGACAGATTTGTTGATTTTTGGAATGATCGTTGGACTGAGTTCCCTTCTTTTAAGATGGCTTTTCCTAGGATTTTCGGGGTGGCAGTTAGAAAATCCGGTAAAGTCGTAGATTTCGGGTCCAAAGTCAATGGTGTCTGGGTTTGGAACATAACAAAAAGAAGAGTGTTGTTTGATTGGGAGATAATTATTTGGAATGAGTTTATGTTAGCTATCAATAAAGGTGTTAGTGGTAGGTTTATGGTGGATCATTTGAGGTGGGCGGGGTCCCCGGATGGTAAGTTTTATCCCAACGTATTTTATAAAGCTTTGTCGAGTTCTGGTCTTGAGCCCGATCCGGTCTGGAAGTTGGTGTGGGCGAACCTAGCCCCCCCCCCCCCTAAAGTCCAGGCTTTTGTTTGGAGAGCTACCCTTTTTAGAATTTCGACGTTAGTTAATCTAGCTAACCGTGGGGTGGGGAGTCTAGTTTCTGTTCTTTGTGTTTTCTGTCGTAAGGATCCAGAGACTGTAAATCATGTGTTTCGTCACTGTGAGGTTGTATGGTCTGTGTGGCAAAGTGGTGTAGGCTGTGGAACTTTAACTTTGTATGCCCAGGTAATGTTAAAGCTCTTATCTTGTACTGGATTGGATGCTTGAGGTCTTTCCCTAGGAGGTCAATCTGGCATTTAGCTCTGTTTGGCTTCATGTGGACTATATGGCTTTGTCGGAATGACATTATGTTCAAGAATAAGTGTTTTAGCGCAGACCAGATTTTTGATTTGGCTATCATGTGGATTGGGTGGTGGAGTAAAAGTGTTTGGCCGTTTGTTGTCCCCTATGTTCTGGATTTTGTTAGAAATCCCTCGGTGGCTGCTGTGAGGAGCAGTCGAGTGAGAAGGTTTGGTGATTCCCAGCTGGTTGCCTGCTTCATCGTAGGTCACTGTGTTGTTGTCCATGTTTAGATTTTTCCTTTGTTATTGATGTGATGATGAGAGGGTGTGGATCCGGTCCTTTGTTGGTTCGTTTTAGCTCTCGTTGTTGTGTTTTTGCGTGTTGAATTTCTGGGGTTGGTTTGTTTTATCTTTATGGTGTTGAGCTGTTTTTGCTTCTGTGTTGTTTAAGTTCACGCCTTGTGGGTGGT